TTGCCCAAGAATACTGTAAGGAGGTAGGCTATAGAATGTCACTTTTTGCTTTTAGTAATATTGTTTGCCCCAGGACATTTTTTAGTATTTTACTAAAATTTATACATAATACTTTTCTTAAAAAGATATTATTACAATAAGCAGCATTATTTAAAAATATTTTATTGATATTTTATTATAGTATCTTAAAAAGGATCTGACTGTCATATAGAAAGTACATGCTATTGCAACACACTTAGAAGACTTTGTCTCCAGAAATCAGGCCATTCTCTTGGAAGATATGCAGAGCAGGCTTCTGAAGCAGCTTATGCTAAAATTAAGCCTGTCATCAACAGGTTCAATGTTTCCCAAATGAGCAAAAAACATCTGATAAGAGCTAAGAGAATTGCAGAGGTGTTTAGAAGTGCAAACCTGTGTTTAGTAGTGCAAACCTGTGTTTAGTAGTGCAAACCTGTAATTGAAGAACCTTATCAAAGTTATATATTAATAAAAGACTTTCATTGATTTTTTTAACTAAAATGTTGTAGTGTTGTAATATGTAATATAAAAACTAATAAGCATTGTATTAGCAACCATACTTTTGTACCTGTTGTAGCAACCATACTTTTGATTTAAATACTATTTAAAGAAACAAAACCATTAAAAAATCTTTAAAAAATATGAAATTTTGACAAATTTCAAAACTAAATTTTCTCAAAAAGGGCCACTCATTAGATTTTTTCAAAAATTGATTCTTAAAACATATGATATTTGTAACCTAAATCTATTGAAACTTCTGGGGTCATATCATTTTATACCTAAAAAAACTATATTTTTGAACTGTGTGCTGGTGACTGAAACAGTTTTTATTTCACATTTGAGTTGTCCGCTATGATAATCAATAGTCTGGTGTAAAAGTTTTTTTTTATATATTTTTTCCCGGGTGAAGCTAATGAAGGAAAAAAATTTAAACGTTTGGCTACTAAAATACGTCAAATAAGAAACTGTTTATTTAAAAGTAAATTAATTAATTGAATTAAAAATGTGTTTTGAAGATGTGTTTTGAAGATGTGTTGTCTTTTTTTGTCATAGTCAATATATTGTATCGTTTGTTTTTGCCAATCTTAACAAAGGTTTTATTATGTGAAGCAAAAATAATGAAATTCAAAAATGCAAAGAAACATTTTATGTTGTTTTATAGAAAATTTTCTATTATTCTCTCTTAATCTTAAATCAAATGTTTAATTTAGTTGAATGTTAAAAAATAATGTTTTTAATGCTTTGAACATTTTTCTTTAAACTAAGACTTTTTTTTTTAGAAAAAAATTTCCATGAGCAATCATTAATTACATTCTAATAATGATTTTTTATGTGCATCTTAATAATGTTTTTTATTTTGTTAATTTTGTTTGACAAAAAAATTTAAAAAAATTTGACAAAAAAGTTTAAAAAAATTTATTTTACTAATGAAAAACAAAAGATGTTCAGTTTTATTAATGATTCAACTGCTCATTCATGTTATTCAAAATGCAACTTTAAGGTTTAAAAAATGACACAATAGTATTTGGAAACGAAAGAGAATGTAGTTTTAAAACTCATTTTAAATTGAGAAGCGTGCTTCAAGATGCAACAACAATGTTTAAAAAAGCAGTACAAAATATTAAATCACAAGTCGGTTTCTTTTTATTAAGTTTGGTAAATTTATATAATGCACCGCAGTGTACTCATTCAACAAAGTGTATACTACTTTAAATTGTCGTATTTGCTGGGCTACTGACAGGCATTTTTTTTTAATTTCAGTCGTCTTGGAGAAAACGAGTCGTCCCGTGCTATATATATATATATATATATATATATATATATATATATATATATATATATATATATATATATATATATATATATATATATATATATATATATATATATATATATATATATATATATATAGCACGGGACGATATATATATGACAACATAAGAAAAAAATAACTACATAATATTTACTACTTCAAGTTTCATGCTAAAGTAATCAACAGGTAAAAAATACATTCTGTTATTTTATTAAAAAAATATTTTGTAAACAAAAGTAATGTGCAGAAACAATTACAAAGTCTTTTACTGTTTACTTTCCCATCGCCTAAATAAGTTATTCAATCGAAATGCGGTAGTGGTGTAGTGGTAAGAGCGCTGTTTCGGAGTTAAAGAGTTGAGAGAGGGTTGTACCACGATTTACAACAAAATAAAAATAAAAAAATAAAAAGAAATGAGTAGCCTCCTCAACTGTAGTGGTCCCCTCGGGCCTTGGGGAGGTGAATAATTAAAAAAAAGAAAAAAGAAGTACAATTAAAGTGAGTTATAACTGCACCAAAAATATTGACAAAATAATAAAAAGCCACAACAATAAAACTATATCTAAAAGTTCAGATGAACACCCACCATGCAATTGCATAAACAAATAAAAAACTGAAAAATTCAACCACCTTCAAATACATATGGCAAATAAAAGAAAACCTCAAAGTAACACCTAACTTAACTTAAATTGGTCAATAATTAAAAAAGTTCCGGTTTACAATAACATCACAAAAAAATGCTTACTTTGCCTCCACAAAAAAACTTTTTCATACAAAGGTTGCAAATAACTTTAATATGTTTACTACTAAAAATTTCAATGCGCTTGCGATTGCAAGCGCATGAAATTTTTAGTAGTAAACATATTAAAGTTATTTTTTCTTTATATTGCCAATCAAACATGTAAAGCTCTGATATCATTTATTGAGCTATCTTGCTCAAGAAATGCAGACAATAAAATAAATTAAATTATATATATATATATATATATATATATATATATATATATATATATATTATATATATATACATATATATACATATATATATATATATATATATATATATATATATATATATATATATATATATACATATATATACACATATATATATATATATATATATATATATATATATATATATATATATATATATATATATATATATATATATATATATATATATATATATATATATATATATATATTAGGGTGGGTCATAAATTTTTTTTTTCTTGTTACAGGCTCTAAACATTGCTAATAGTTATTAATATTGATACTATCAAATATGAGAATGATTGTGATAGATTTAAACTTTATTGGGAAAATTACCGGTACCCTAATATTTTGGAGAAAAAAAGGTTTTGAGTACCAGGTTGACCTACTTTTTTCAAAAGTAGGTCAACCTGGTAAAAAATTCGAAAATAATAATTGTTTTATAAAAATCATATTGCCGAAAAAAATTGTTATTAAAAAACATGTAAAAAAGCACCTTTTTCACTTTTAGTTAAAAAAGTATAATTATTATGCAATAAAATTTCAAATAATAATTTTTATATGAAAAAATTATTATTTTTGAAATTTTTATAAAATTTCGCTTTATTTGAGTACCTACATCACATAATTTTGAAAAACCATTTTTTTTGAATAATAATAGGGCCTGCTAATTTTTCTAATTATAGTTGCAGGTCGAAGACATTGTTCAATCCATAAAAGTAAATACTTTTCTAAATTAATACATAAAAAAACAACTTTCTAGACCATAGCCAGGTTAGCAACTCTAAAAAAAAATTTTATGACCCACCCTAATATATATATATATATATATATATATATATATATATATATATATATATATATATATATATATATATATATATATATATATATATGTATATATATATATGTATACATATATATGTATACATATATATGTATATATATATATGTATACATATATATATATATATATATATATATATATATATATATATATATATATATATATATATATATATATATATATATATATATATATATGTATATATATATATATGTATACATATATATATATATATATATATATATATATATATATATATATATATATATATATATATATATATATATATATATATATACGCATATATATATAAAGGGCTGTGCACAAGATTAGGGGGCCCCAAGCACTCTTCAATTTTGGGGCTTAACCCTTTTTTCCCCACCCTCACCACACACACACACACACCTCTCTCTATTATTTAAAAAAAAAAAGCCTACTCAAATTTTTTTGATTATACTGCTGGTATAGTTAAGTTTTTCAGCTTTTGTTTCTTACAAGGTTATTTTTCTTATCTTTTGTTTTGCTAACTCTTCAATCATATTGTAGAAATCAAAATTTTGTGCTAGTAAAACTCAATACTCAAAAACAAAATGCTTGTTTTGGCTGACTTGACACTCCTGGAATTGAGTGTCACTAACTTCAATAAGATAAAAATAAAAATAGATGTTATATGATCATAGTCACACACTCTCTGGTTAAGAGCAGTCTCTTTGTTCTATATCTCTCTTGTTCATCTCAAGACTGCACTGCACGAGGTTATTTGTGATCAATTTTACTGAGCCCTCTCTCTTCATCCATCAGCCAATATCATTGTTGTTAGTGACTTTGATGCTCATCACACTGAATGCCTTGGCTCCAGTGTCAGTGATTCTGCAGGCGTTAAGGCCTACAACTGTTGCCTTTCTCAATCTCTAACTCAAGTAGTCAACTTTCCAACTCGCTCTCCAGACAACCCGAATCATTTACCTTCTCTACTCGACTTATGTCTTGTTTCTGATCCTAACGAGTGCTCTATTTTGTTACTATTTTTTAATACCTTTTTCAGTAAATTATTTATATATATATATATATATATATATATATATATATATATATATATATATATATATATATATATATATATATATATATATATATATATATATATATGTTACTATTTTTTAATACCTTTTTCAGTAAATTAATATGTAGTGTTACATTTTAAACTATTTTATTTAAATAACACACTTAAAATTATAACACGCCTAAAAAAGACATTACTTTTACAATACCCAAAAAAAATATTACTATAAAAACATTTTTTCTAAAATCATTATTTTTATTTAGAAATTTAGAAACTTTGGTGATTTCGCAAACGTTGAATGGTTCCATGAGAAATAAGGCTATCGAAAGATTAAAATTAGAACTCCCTCAATGTAAAATTATTGACTAATTGATTTATATTATTTTAATGTAATTTATATTAAAGAGAATTTTTTTATGAAAGTTAAATTCCCTCGTTCGTATAGAATAAATTTTCAAATCGTTACTTTAGGGTGCCTTATTTGAATTACTTTAGGGTGTAATTTAGGTTTATAAGATTTTTTATGTTTTGTTTTTGTCTAAGTTGATTTATTTGCTTTGAGTTTTATTGAAATGCTTTAAAATTTGAGTTTTATCAAAAATAAAGTTTTTACATCATAAGATTTATTTATAAAAAAGCGAGCCTAAATCAAATGAATATTATTATTTTTTACTTATTTTATTATTATTTTTTTAATTTACTTTTTGTGCTAAATTTTTTATTTCACTTGTTGGATTTTCTGTGTTTTTTTTTTTTTTTTACTTTTTTATTCACGTTCTTTTTCTTCATTTTATTCATGGCTTTCTTATGTTTTTGTGACTTTCTTATTTAGACATTTAATTTACCTATTTTTTTATTTCATTATTACTTTTTTTTTATTTCATCTTTTAAAAATATGTATGGTAGTATTTTAGGGAATTCCTCGTTATGTCGTCCTAATTACTTCTTTAAGAAGTAGAAAAAAATAACATAAAATTAAGTAATAACGAAGAAACAAATATTTATAATAAAATTAAAAATCTAGATGCTATCACAAGAATATCTACTGTTGTAATGCTGTGCAACTCGTTTTTAATTATACAATAATTTTACTTTCGTCACCATATAGTTTCTTTTTTTGTTTTGTTTTTTTTAGGTTTTTTTGCCATATAAATTTATTCAAGTCCTAAACCATAATGTAAACGCAAATAGCATGAGCAAGAAGAAGACACAATTGGCTTATCACCAAGCCCCTTAGTCTATACCGTAAATATAAAACAAAAAAAAATAAAAAAAGTAGCACTATATAAAACGTTTTTCTAAAGACTATAAAATAAAAATAATCGGTCCTAAAGTCCTACTATATGGTGACTTATGCTGACCGGCAGTTCATTAATGAAGATTGCGAAGAGTAATTGGCTCAAGACCGAGAAGAGTAAGTACAGTACAGCTTTGAGACATACCATCAGTGACCCCTTACAATTCAGACGTGATGCCGTTAATGACCATTCGTTGACTTTGTTCGCGTAACCAAGCTAAGATCCAGTTTAAGAGCGCGCCTCGAATATTGTAGGCTCTTGACTTGTGAAGAAGGCGTTTACGCGGCATTTTGTCAAAAGCTTTCGTAAGTCTGTGTATATGACGTCTACTGAGTGGCTATGATGAATTGTTTCCTTCATGATGTTCCGAGTTTCTAGCAGATTTGAGACGCAACCCTAGCGATGGACAAAGCCATGCTGCTTTGGAATGATTAAGCCATTAGGAACACAGTGTTCCTTTATACTTGTTTGAAAAATACTTTCTATTATTTTGTATTAAATTGATGTGAGTGAGATAGGCTGGTAGTTTGATGAACATTTAGGTTACTCCCATTCTTGAAAATAGACGTTACATCGGATTTTCTCCACAAGTCGGGGACTACACCACTCGCGAACAAGCACTTATAAATAAGTTTGACAAAGATAGCTGCACATTTACTAAGGACCTGTGGATATAAGCCGGTTGACTTTCTTTTATCAATGTGGTTAAGACAGTTTTCTACCATATCAATAGAAAAACTTGCTGGGTCGACAACACAAATTGCTTCAGTACGACTCTCAAAAGTTGGCATTGAACCTTCTGGCTCCAAAACAAAAACCAAATAAAAATTGTTATTATTTAATTCAATTTGCCTCTCAAGAAGTTTAAGTTAAGTTAATAAATATAAGTTTTTGCGAAGCTACAAAAGTGATTTGGCAATATTTTACAAATGTTCACAGACCAAATCCATGCAAATATTTACTTTAAAGCTGAAGCTGAAGTTGTTTCCCGGACTTTTGTCATATTACTTTACAGAAAAAAGTTTTTTTTTTAGTTTTTTTTAAAAAGTAGAAAAAATTTATACTTTTTCTATAAAAAAAATAAAGTTTTTCTGATTTTTCTTTTGAGTTTTGAAACATCTTCTAACAATACTTAGTTGAAAGTAAAAGTGATAAAAGTTAAAGATTTACAACGTAATGGAGTTTTACGCATAATTAAAAATCAAGCTTTCTCCTGCAGACTTTGTAATATAATTTTGATACATATCTCAGTGACAACTAATGATATTACTATTACTATTGGGATAGTACTATATCTGCCTTCCTATCCCCATTAATACAATTTTTTATTAATACAATATTCATAGTTTTTTTATTTATAAAATATACATGTATCCGGGGTAAAAGGAAGACATAATTGTCTTATCACTAAGCCTCTAAATTTCCGATTATAACATGTATTCACTTATAGAATAGTAATACACATACAAATTCAGAAGTTTATTTCGAATAGTCCCTTATGTTTTCTCTATTTAAAATCATTTCTTTTAGTTTTGTTTTGAAATTGTTTAGTGTCATTATTGATTAGTATATTCAATATTTGAGAGCCTCTGGAGGTGATCGAAAACTTTAGTGGCTTTAAAGTGAGGTTTAGCTTGAATATAATTATTATTTGAAAATTTAATAGGATGTTTGTGTTTTATTTTCTAAATAAAGTTTTTGAATATTTAGGATAGTTTCTTTTTTAACTTTTTACATGGTGATAAGTATTTATCTATTGATTTTAATATTTAGATTATTAAACTATGGTTGTAAATTCAGGAGATAGCGTTGGATATTATTTTAATTGTATGTTTTTTTGTTTTTTTTAAGTTTTATTGATACTTGTTTTATCGATACTGAACCAAGCAAAATTGTTAGCAAAATTGAGATTTATTAACAATAAATAAGCGTGAAAAAGATATACTTGAAGCATATTTGATTTAGGTAAGTTTTGCCTTATAAAGTATGCTCGTATTTTTACAAATTTTATTTTCGATTAAGTTTATGTGCTTTTTCCAATTGGCATTTTCGTTGAAAAGAATACATAGAAACTTATTTTTTCTCTTTTAATATTGTGATTCCCAGACATATATATTTTCTTTTTTTATTCTTAATTTTACATTTATTGTTTATCTTCAAGAAAGAAAAATAAATAAAGAATGCGGTGGCTCAAAGAAGACTATTAAGTACTTGTCGCAAAGAACCGCGAAAAATATCAAGAAATGACAAAATATCTAGAAAATAACAAAATTCCAGAAGAATACTATTTTCAAAACAACATAAGATGAGAATTCATTAAACTATTATATGTTATATAATAATATTAGGTATTCATTTGACATAAAAGTGTTAAAAATATTAAAATGTGTCTTCGATAGATAAAATGATTTCTTTTAGTTTTTTGTATATTTATATAAGTAATCAGCTGATAAATATTAAGAATTTTCATTTCAAATAAGAAAGGCTTGGCATGAGGAAACCTATCTTTAAAATTGATTAGACGAGCAACATGCTACTGCTGACGATAAAGTGGCAACAATTTAGATTTGATATTACCTCAGGAAGTGTTTGCATAATTCATATGGCAATGTATAAAAGAGAAATATAGTTGTGTTAAAAAGTGTTTATTTAAAATATTTCTTGTTTTATACATTATTCCTATACTTTTAGCGACTTTACTGTACAAAAGACTTTTACCTAAAAAGTTAGTATATATTTCGCTTTTTATTTGCATTTAGTCTATAAAAAGAACGGGCATTTTTTAAGACTGTAATTTCTTTTTAGAATTTGAATGAAAAAATGTCCATTTCGTTTTATCAACATTAAGCGGCAACTTATTCGTTTTAAACCAGTCACAAATATTTGAGAGTTTTAGCGGAATTTGTCTCTTTGACAAAGGCGATGTAAAAAGGTATACTTAGTTTTGTCTAGGTTTACTGAGAGTTAAATAGTGTTTTTATATCACTGTGGAATTAAAATAAGTTACTGTCGCTAGCAAATAAAATTGAGGTTAAAATACTAGAAGCTTTGTATAATTCGGTGATGTAAATTAAAAACAAAAGCGGCCTTAATATGGATTCTTGAGGAACTCCGCAAGTGATTATGTTTATGTCGTTTTTTTCGCCATCATTAGAAACGTGCTGTTTTCTATTAGATAAATAGGTTATAAACCAAGCTATATTTCTATTTTTTTATTCCGTATTTTGCTAACTTTTTAAATATAATACTATGATCAATTGTTTTAAAGGCTTTGCTAAGATTTATAAAAATAACTAGTATATACCTATTTTTTAAAAGCCTGAAAATATAATGAACAAGTTAAAGAATGATTAGTACAATGAGCCTTTTTTGAATCCAAATTGTTTGTTACAAAGTACATTATTTGCTTCTAAAAAAAGTTAATAATTAACTGCACATTATTCGTTCTAGTGTTTTTTAATGAAAAATAGTCTATAACTAGAAAAACTAGAACAATTATAATAACTTAGTTATTATAATTGTTGTTCATTGTCATTTTGTAAGCATATTAATTGTGACTCAATGCCTTATCTACCAGGTTTTAGTTTTAGGTCTTAGTTCGATCCCGCACAAACGAAAAGCTGTTTAAATGTTTTTTTAATTGTTATTTCACTAGATATAAATATATGATTAAAGTAGATTGTTTTTGGAAGACAATTTGCTATTAATTTTTTTTTACAAGTTAAATCTTTAATGACGTTACAGGTTTTCTGAGTGTCGTCTTTGTATTTCAGTATTTGTTTAGTATAATATATTTTTTTAGAACGATTTATAGCTAGTTTTAAAACACCTTTATACTTTTTGTATTTAGATTCATTTGGATGATTTTAATTAGGGTTGTTCACGAAAGCCAAAGTTGAATTTTCGATTAAAAAAAAAGTTTTCGAAACTCTATTTTCGTTTCGGTAAATTCGAAATAATTTTAAAGTAATTAATTTTGCGTCGAAACGATTTTTTACTTTCGAAATTATAAAATTTGCTTTGAAATAATTTTGCGATTTCGAAATTCTGAAAATATTATCGAAATAACTTTTTACTTTCGAAATTGTAAAATAAGAATCAAACAAAATGCAGCATATGTTATAAGATTT